ATATCCTTTGCACGTTGAAATCCACGTTGTTAACGAACCGGATGTCGATTTCGTTGCGCAATGTTGATTGGACTAGACATAGACTCGTTAGTCCAGCCACAATATAACTCCACAATTTCAGCCTAGTTCCGCAAGGGTTGAAGCTGGACTTTTATTATCAGTTAACTCCCTTGACTCGGGAAGATGGAAAATGGAACGTCCCCGTGAAGCATACAGGTCACGTGTTACTGTTAGTCTTCCAACCTGTCCAACCTGGCTACTGATGTCTACCTCTAATTGAGGCAGTTTGACAAAGCACACATAAGCAGCAGTTTTATCGATAAAGCAGTCAGCCTTGAATTGACTTTATAAATATTTCAGGTTCAAGCGTATTATTTGCTTTCAGTCAGAATTTATCACTCATTATTTTGTAATTTAAAACGATTGTTATTATTTTTGCCGATTCAAAGAAAACAGGCCCGTATGTGTAATGCAAGGTATAACGGGGGCGTAGTTGGGCGTGGTCGACTTGATGATGCTTGAGATGAGGTGGCGTAGATACTAGAACCACCGTCACCACCAGTGCAGCAGGTCGTGTTCTGAAATCATCAGCGCTATTCTTACACAATAAACGTGTTGTACAGTTCCATGGTACACTGAATAACACGAGTTTACTGCGTACATTCAATTCTCATCAATGAGTATTTTGCATATGACACATGTCAGCTGAAACATCTGCTTTTAAATCGATTCCTGTAAATTACATTACATTCACATGTCCATGAAACCGACATCGATACCACACAAACGAAAACATTTTTGTGTCATTTGAGTACAACAAAAGTCGAGGTTTCTTGCGATGTGGTCTTCACAGGAAAAAATAACCATCGTATTTTTATGTGTTTTTTACATCGATGTCAAGACTACTTTCGATGATGTTTTATTTATATGTCTAATTGTGAATCTGTTTCGCTATATTATCCACGTTTTGCAAATAATAGAAATGCAAACATCCATTTAAGGTGCTCATCTACAGAAATCTAGGATCAAGACGATAGTCTCCGATACATTACCTTGGCAGCTGAGATGGGGCACTTATACGTGGTACAGATCAAGATGACTGGACAAAAGATGTTTGATATTTTAATGTTTTCAGATTAATGTCGACATATGATATTGTTTTATAGACATTACGGTCTTCACTGGAGCACAGTAACACAATGTAAATGATAGTAGTTGCCATTATATCAAACTACACAACATTACATTACCTACAACTGACTTTCAATGGCACAACTTCAGAGACTTAGAATGTCTTTACTTGGCAGTGAAGTGATGAAACCTCTGATACATCTGTATACACGTATTATAATGTCTTACGTTAATGAACAAAACTTTTGAATTGATGATCAACCTCGCGAATACCTCGCGGTTATATATGGCATCACAAAAAGATTCCATGTTTTTGTTAGTAATTTACATCTGAATTCTCACTAAGAAAAGTATGCATTTTGTTTTATCGCTCGCTTACTCACTTATCGTCTTAAACAAAAGATACTTATTTTTGACAACCTAAATACCTTCTTTCTTAAAGCGTTTTTTAAACACAAAGCTATGCAACCTTCGTGACTTAACTTAAGAAAGAATTGACCTTCAACCCGACAATAGACACAGCGCCGGAGTGTCTCCTGTCGAGCTTAAAACACGCCACAGAAGCCAACTGTAGCATATAACACGGACTGTTGCGAGTGTGCACGTTCATAGAGATCTTGATGACAATTTCGCGTTTTTAAAAACCCAAACCATCCCCTCCTTTTCATATCAACCGCGATAAAAACGAAATTTAAAACTACCCCTTTTATAAACCACCCACAGACGCAGCTTGATCCCTCATAGCTGGTGAAGCTCGTCACAGGGCTTCCAAGGGACTGTTCAAGCAGATTTAATATCAGGAGGTATAACCCGGCGTGTTGCAGAGTATAAAACTTTTGTAGTTTCAGACAGCGCCCATGAAACTAAAACGCATGGCCTCCCATGGCCACCTCTGACCTGTTGGATGTCCAACCATTGTTGACCTGCGGTCCGTCACGGTATCTGGTCATTCACACTGACCCACGTGGATAATGCGTTGGATTTAATGACTGTTTTCGGCAGTTTACGTTGAGTTTACGGATAAGCTCTGAATGGTGATGGTTTTAACTGGCTCCGCGCACTGAAGACGCTCTATCAGAGGATAAAGTGTAATTTTCGCGTTAACGATAAACAACTTGACAAAATAGTCTATTACACCGTAATGGAGGGGCTCTGGTATCGTCCAACACTTTATGGAGTTAATTGGATCATAAATGTTGAGGAATCTTGTAAAGTTGTACAAGGAATCTTAACCTGACGTTCCGGTTTTCTATAGGAAGCAATCCCTTGTAAAATGAGTCAGGAGTTCAAAACTACATAACAAAGTCATAATACTGAGTTGAGACATTAATGACAATAACCATAAACGACTATTATTATGATTTATATTAACGATAATACCATCTGCGTGCAACGACCGTCTTCTCGTTATTCGTTGAATGAAAAGAAGGGTTAAGACATTTTTTAAAAAAGAGATTGAAATTCATGGGGCATGTCAAACCGTCGAGAGTTGTTAAGTTGTCAAAGGGATTATGGACCTTCTAGACATCACTTCTCATTCTTCCTTTTTATCGTTTTTAAACTTCATATTTCTCTCAGTGCAAAGCTGCAATTTCACATCAACAAAGGCAGTATAGTGATGATGATTTTGTAAGTGCACACAATATCATTCCTTTCTTGAAAGATCCTCATTGACTGTGAAGAGTAATCGTCCGCGTTGAGGACGGCCTTGTAGTGTATGTGTGGTATGTCAATCCACGTCTATCTTACGTCCGCTTTGAAGATGGGTGTAAAACACTTCTAATGCAAATTTTGAGCACGTGTTTGAAATACAGACGCCATATTGATGAGAGATTGTGATTGTGTTTAACGTTATGTCTCTAATAAACCTGTGAAATTAAATATACATATTTAAAATAAATAACTCTTACACGCATTACTGTTACACGTGATCTGAATACTAAGTGAATTATATTTAGTTATCTTAGACACTAATATCTGATAATACGAGGATCATTCCCTACTTGTGTGTTAGACCCGTGAAGATTCCGGGGTAAAATAGGTCTTCAGCAACCCATGCTTGCCGTAAAAGGCGATTATGCTTGTCGTAAAAGGCGACTAACGGGATCGGGTGGTCAGGCTCGCTGACTTGGTTGATGCATGTCATCGATCCCAATTGCGTGGATCGATGCTCATGATATTAATCACTGGATTGTCTGGTCCAGACTCGATTATTTACAGACCGCCGTCATATAGCTGGAATATTAGTGAGTGCTGAGTAAACAACAAACCAACCAACCAACTTGTGTGTTAGTTCGAATCAGAACATTTTCAGAACCATGTCCCACCATATGCAGTGTAGGCGTATAACATTATGACCTGGGCTTTCCTCGAACGTTACGCTGACACGCCATTATATAGCTGAAAGAAATATAAGCTCCAAATCATCCCCTATCATCACAAGATATGTCCATTGTACGATTCCGACTGTATGAGCATGTGTCCACGGATCACTCTTTTATGGTGATGATACCAGGTGTTCGCGAATAGGTGGGCGTGTCCTGCCCGAGCAGTGTCATCCTCCACAAACACTTGCACAGGCAAGTCAATTGTTGCCTTGAAATAACAGGGGATCATATGGTACAAGTCAAAATAGGAAATTGCATCCGACATTATTTTCGTCACTTGTGTACTGTTCAAAGACAACCTCACTAATCCTAAGTATATGCCCAAACGGCATGATGCTGCAAATGAAGGCATCACCCAAGCCCTCTGTACCCAGTTCCCTGTGGGTATTCCGGGCCAGACATAACCCCATGTGTGTCGTGTTTAACTAAGTTCCCATTAAAACAGGGATCTGGGGAACACAATGTGTATATGTCAGTTTACCCAGACGGCTTGAATCGTTGCTCATGATATTAACCACTACTTTGTCTTGGCCAGACTCCATTGTGTTCAAACGTGTATTATTACTGACAGCGGCGTGAAACAATATGCATTCGCTCTCTTTATGTCAGTACACTAATCTTATAAAAAAATGCAAACGTTTGTTACTACATAAGGGAATAGCTACAATCATATTACCCATGCATTGGGATGTTATATGTTGTAAAATCTATCTTCATAAATGGATTATGCATCAATATGGTGCGCATATTACTGACTAAATAATTGGGTGAGCGGGTGAATATTCATTAACCATCTGGCACGTGACGAAAATCCATTGTGGACTACGAAGCACATAACTATCCCCACACTGCACTATATTTATTAATAACAGTCACATTCTCTTAATGTCATGGCGTGAACAGTCCTCAGTCAACGGAAATAATGTCGCGTGGTGGCACTGAACACCAATAACTGTTGCAGGTACAGCGTCTGTGTGTTAACATTGTGGGCAGTTCACAAGTACGTACATGCGATCGTGTTTCATCGTGAGGTTACTGACGTCTTCAATGCTTGTGTAGACGCGGATAAAAATATTACGCTCATAGCTTTTTATTAAGTTAAACGCTTGGAATGTGGTCTTGATGTACAAACTTAAAACTAGCTGGTTCTAACAATTTACGATTTTTCCTCAAAACTGACACAGCTGTCGCTTGTGAAAGGTTTGGGAACAAGACCAAACAACCAATTTTACTGATTATCATAATGGTATTTTTTTGTCCCGATTCGGGGCCAGTCGGTGTGTGTTATAAGGTCGATAATGGATACATTTAGCATATTACTAAGTTTGATGTACAGTGGTTGTAATGAAGGTAATGTTTAATGACCGTTATGAATGATAAGGGCGCCAACTGATACACCTTATGCCCCAATCGAGCTTAACCATCTACCCAACCGCATTGACCATGAGTCATCGTGATATTCCAGCAACACAAACAGTTATGTATATTCAGTGGTCAATTTATTAACAATAACAGTGTAAACGTACAAAATTAACAAGTGCTATTTACAAACAATGAAGAAATGTACATCTGAATAACGGCAATGAACAAGAATGAACAAGTGGGACAATGGTATCAATAATGATGGACACATGAAATGAGCATGCTTTTCATGTAATTTACGACAGTGTAAGTTTTCGGTCAGTGGAACAGATTATGCACTTTGGGCACATGGTGAATTTATGCTAAATCATTATGTACATTTTACCCATATTTTCACATCGTTGCATATATTATGTATTGACACCTTTGTGTATATATTATGTATAAAATATATCAATAAAATCAAAGCAAAAAGATGAATGCTTATAATTTGTCAACGGTGACCGTATAAATGTCTCTCGATCTGGACCTTTTTTCCCACTTTAGAAACACATTCAGGAGATATTTCACGAATTCGATGAACTTGTTGATCAATTGTTTTTTTACTTGTGTCGATTTCATGCGTGGAGTATTGACACTGACAGTGTCGATCATGATATGAAATGAACACGTAGTCACTGGCACGTGACACGTGATAATGCTGACGCTTGGTTAAAGCTGAACAGGTGTCTGGAAGCCTTTGAATCAAACGGACATCTGGAAGATCAAAATAAACAGACTGTTAAAACAGTAAAAATCAAATTGAAATTTATACACAAAATATCCCAATTACACATTTACAAATATTCTTTGTATCAAAAGAGTGAATGTTGAAATCAGTATTCGTATATATTATTTTGCATAAAAAATAGCATATCCAGACTTTAATGTGAGTTATGTATGGGTTTTTGTAGTTTTCGTGAAACTTTCCTGTATACATTTGACAACTATCAACATTGAATGATAGTCAAAGATTTACCTTGAGACTATTGTTCATATCTAGGTCACTTCCGCCATGGCCGCTATCTGTTCCGATTGTCTCCCCTGATGTGTCACTCCAAACATCCGGGTCCTTTTCGCCATCTTTTGCCTGTAACAATAATATCAGCTTTATAGTCAAATGTAAAATAAATCGGATCATCCATAAATAAGATCATCCATATTATTCAATCATAAAAGTTATTTCGAAGTAATCGTCGTAAATTTTGAAAACAATCAGTCATCTCTTTCTCCCAGATGTGCAACAGCTGTGATCAGCAATACAGGATAAGCGCACGTGAAGGTCCGGGTTAGAATTGGTCGTCAGCGACCCGTGCTTGTATCTAGGCGACTAACGGGATCGGGTGATCATGCTCGATTACTTGTCTGCTGCATGTCATCGTATCCCAGTTGCGTAGATCGATGCTTATGATATCAATCACTGGTTTGTCTGGTCCAGAATAAATTATTTACAAATCGCCGTCATATAGCTGGAATATTGCTGTGTGCGGCGTTAAACAAACAAACATCATTAGTTATTATTTCTATGTGTTGTGGACATGACGTGTATTGGTATATATTCGTTGCTGATATACTTACATTACTGGGGGTCTTCTTTAAGCGGAGAGACTGTACTAATGCCTTGTGTTGATGGAGAATATCCACCACACTGACCTCCCCATCTGTAGAGTTGGATGAAGATGGCACTCGCGGCTGAAATAGACATGGAATGTATTAGTGACGTCAATTTCAAATGACAATATCAACTAATGATCATAAACAATCGGTGGAAAAATGTAAACACATATATAAAAACATCATTAAATTCAATTCAATATAAATTACTTTATGACTGGTACTGATAAAATTAGTTATTTATATATCACAACGTGCTCATTGATATTTACTTCCTGTTAAATGCATACCTTTTTATTAGCTTTAGCTGGTGACGTTCTATTGCCGCTATTTTGACTTTCACTCAAATGCCTCATTTGGTTGTATTGCGACTCCTCTGTAGCGAAAACGTCACTTTTAATGTCTTTAGTATCATTTTTAAATGTCACAGTCTTCTTCGTCAGTTTATTGCCCTCTGTAACCAGAATAATACCTGGTCTTAATTCATTAAATTCCTTTTTACTGTTCTTGGAAGATGATTTTGCGGAGGAATATTGGATCTTCTCGCTATCGGAGTATTCTTTGTATTTGCGCCTATTGTCCACGTATCTAATAGTCAATAGAGTTCCAAGGACAACAATAGCTAATATAGATGTTATACACACGAGGACAATGACGATTTTCATGTTCGTGTCACCAGCCGTCGCTGTAGAAGCGTCTGCGTGAACGATTTCGACGTTAAGGACGGCGTAGGTGGCTCTCTGGGGGGTGCCGTCGTCATGAACACTGATGTTGATGTTGTACTTCTTAACATCACCGTCCGTGATTGCACGGCCGAGTTTGATGACCCCGCTGCTCGTGCTGATTTGAAACAAGCCGGTTTGATTAGCTGTGACGATTGAGTAGGTGAGCCACCCATTGAGGCCTGAGTCCAAGTCATAGGCTTGGACGATGGCAATTTCTGTTCCAGGTTCCATATTGACGGGGATTGAAATTGAGTCGTTAGTTGGCACGGGGAAATTGATTTCGGGATGGTTGTCATTGTCGTCAAGGATACGGATTTTGATTGGCACTGATGTTATCTGTGGCGGGGTGCCAAGATCTGAAGCTAGGATGTCGAAATTGTACGTTTCCATCGATTCGTAGTCAATTTCAGCCGCGGTGCTGATTTCACCCTTGGCGTTAACGGTGAAAGGTATGACACCGTTCACAGGAGAACCGCGTAGTGTGTATTGCACTTCACCTCCTTTACCAACATCTGAGTCTATCGCTTTAACTTTACCAATGAAAGTTCCTACTGGAGAGTTCTCCTTCGCGGAGAACACGTACGATGCGTTAGAGAAGGTAGGACTCTGGTCGTTCCTGTCGCCGATGTTGACAACTACGGTGGTCGTTCCTGTCAACGGCACCTCGCCCTTGTCCATTGCAAACACCTTAAATGTATATTTCGGTACCGCCTCCCTATCAAATGTCTTGATGGCCGAAATTTCACCAGTGGATTCGTCAACATTGAAAGCCTGAGAAGCAACAGCATCAAGTTTGTACTCGATTTCACCATTTGTACCAAAGTCTTTATCGCTCGCTTTAACGTCTCCCAGTGACACCGGAAAAGCGTTGTTTTCGTCAATACTCTTGAAGTATTTTTCTTGTGAAAACACCGGGGGGTTGTCATTATCGTCCGTCACACGGATCAGGAACTCCTGGTAGGAAGACAAAGGGGGCGTGCCCTGGTCCTGACACGTGACCGTCACGTTATGCACGTGCACTCCTTCCCTATCTAACGACCTCGCAACAATCACTCTGTATTCCGTTTGTTCAAGTTTCTGGAGCTGGAAATATTGACCACTGATTTGACAGGCAACCAATCCATTTCTCCCCGAATCGGAATCCTTCACAGAAATCAACACTGCAGTTCTACCAATGGTAGACGACTCTGGAACAGCAGCAGCACCATCCTCAGCAAACAACAACTTTACGTCAATCACAGGGGGGTCATTAACGTTGTCGGTAACAGCGACGATAACTTGAGCCTCCGCAAACAGCCGAGGGTTTCCGTGATCAACTGCTTTAACTTGGAAATCAAAGACTGAACCACCTTCAGAGTTCAATGTAGATTTGACTTTAATAAGCCCCGTTGGTTCGTCGATCGAAAAATGTTTCAAAACTCGTTCTTGTGTTGGTGTTGAGAAAAAATAGGATATTTTAGCGTTGTCCTCCATGTCGATGTCGACAGCTGACACTTGCACCACGGTAGAGTCAATAGCTGCACTCTCTGGAAGAGTGGATTCATAGATACCACGCTGGAAAACAGGTTCATTGTCATTTTCGTCGATTATATTAATAATTACGGAGAGAGTACCTGTCCTTGTAGGACTCCCACCGTCAGTAGCTTTTAGAATGAATGCATATTCATCTTGAGATTCTCTGTCAATTTCACCTGTCAGAGATAATGACAAGCTAGAAATTTTACCATCTGTTGTAACAGGATCAAGAGCGAATGTCAGAGAACTGGGTGAAAGTTGATAATACTGCACAATGTTCTGTTCATTCGAGTCTTTATCTGTTGCAAGCGGGAGCGAAATCTTTGTTCCCACTGATGCGCTTTCAGACAGGTTGTATCGAAATTCTGAATTCCCGAAACGTGGTGGGTTATCGTTAATATCTTTCAGGTTGATGCTGACTGTGATTTTTCTGAAAAAGGCGCTTCTAGATGACTGCGCGGCTATATCCAGGGATAACAAACACACTGACACATGTTCACAAAAACTCTCACGGTCCAACACGTCGGATGTGAATATTTCTCCCGATGTTTCATCAACACTGAAGAAGGTATCCACCTTGCTGTCCTGAGAGACAATGCCGTACCGCAGGGCTCGAAACTCGGTCTCCCCAACCTGTTGTTGAAGATTAGACGCGCTAGCCACATTGCCAACCAGGACGGGGGCTTCTTCTCCTTCTGTGATCCTAAATGTGATATTCTGACAACTGATGACCGTCGTTGAAATCAGAATCACCAGTGCTGAAATTAGCGACGCCATTTTGAAATGTTCTTATCTTCCGATCCGTTACAGCATTGGTTCGGCTGAAATATACAAGAAAATGTTTCAACACCGTGTCACAGCAAATCAACAACGTGAAATAGACGAGCTTCAATTTCATCTAAGCATGTCAAGAGGATAATGAAAATATCGGACGTGGACACCGACCACTGTGCCACCAAATAAACATACTCAACAATGTTCATCCTGTTTTATTGTGATATACACGGGAATCTATCGGAATGAAATTGACCAGTATAATAGTGAAATTGGCGTGCGTCTAAAGCCTGTCCTCGTATGTCCATCGTACACAAAGTGTGAAATATACAAGAATGTCTGTGACAATGACGATTGTATTCGAGACACGCTTCCTCATTCAGTGCAAGCAAATATTGCTGGCCGCGAGTCGCTCCGGCGACACATGTCACTTGTGACCCTCACTATGAAGCCCTCGACGTATGATGAGACTGTGCTTTCAATAACATGTTATGTACGCTTGACTGGCTCGGGGTTGAAATATACATGAAATAAACAACACTACCTCGGTACCTTCCCGACAGAAATAGACAACCTTTGTCACTCTCCACAATGTCCGTATGTGTGAGAGTACGGACACCAAATTCTTGAAATTGAATTTCTAAATTTATTAGCCTATTTGTGACAAGATGAGTCAAGTCTAAAATGAAAAATAGACAATTTATGATATTGACACGTGGTGGTGTGTGTTCGGTTCAAGGTGTTTGACATGAAATGTACACTTATGGGATTGGTTTATCTCAAGACCAACACAACGATAATAGTTAATTGAAATGTAACGTAATGTTTGAAAGATAGGACAAAGTGGGAATTACCCTCAGTTCAATAGCCTGTCCAAAACTCTAGCGTACAAGACAATTAAGCCACATAAAATCTTGATAGTTCACATAAATCTGCCACAAGTAAATATTAGCTGTCGGGGGCTAATCCCGATGTTTAAAGAAAATCCATATTTCAAAGTAAAACGCGACGTAAGTGCTAATGGTGTGTACATGACGCTTACCGAACGAAACTTACAGATAAAATAAATTCATGAAAATCGCTCATAACCGCCTTTTAGAGTCACATAATCCGTGGGATGACTCTCGGCTGATAAATGGGATAAACATGATAAAAGTGCAAATGAAAAATAATGAAATAAATTACGGGAGGTAAACACTGTCAGCTCCTCGATAAAGACTTAGAATTGCACCAATCCGTTTGTGAGTGGCAAACCTGTTTTATGAGACAAAAATCTCTCTCTCGAAACAGTCACAGGTCACGTTTAACAAAGCCAAGCCACGAGGGCACATAATTTCAGTTTTATCGTTTTGTGGAATCACATGATTCATCCTCCCTCGTATCTGCTCATCATATCTTAGCTGGGGGCGAAAGCACTACCCGAAAATTGCACGTTTGTTTGTCACCGGCAAAATCCATTAAGGGATCTCAAAGGGACCGAAATAAGCATAGGACAATCGTAATCAAATAACAACGGGGTACAAAATGTCTCAACACCGGTTCCAAACCGCTTTCCGTCACGGTTACACAGGTGTGAGAAATTCTTTAACTTCTTCTACTTTATTAAGGAGGCGCGGGTCAATTCTGACGTAATATGTTGAATTGATGAGTGACAATGAATTACACAATAAAATTGAATTAATTCAAATTGAATCATTTTGTCAAGGTACTTCTGTTATCTTCAGACGGAGCATCTCTCTATAGCGACAACGTACTTAGCCAGTACAATAAGTGGGGGCAGGGTCAGTCGACGCGGGGCTGAAGATGACTCTCTAACCTGTGACCTTTACATTGCGAATTGTTGAGAGGTTTTTGTGTCGCTTTTATGTAAACACATGAGTGGGGAACGTAATCAGTGCTCTCTCAACGGAGGGCAGAGTTGCAAGATTTACTAGCGATAACATTTACGTTAAGATGTAGACAGCGTTCGCGATGACAGCAGGACGCCATTGGATAATGATGTTGAGCCTACACTAATGTAGACCTGCACATCTTCGAATACGTTAAATATCTTATAGAAGAAAAAGATGTCTTTTATTTATGTGTCATGCATTGCACAGCATACAAAGTACTAGTTTTTTATAAACGTTTTCGAGTTTCTGCGAATTTTTTTTATTTGAAATCCAAACTTGTCAATCATTATTTGTTGTTTATATATATAAGAACATAACGCAGTCATCACATTTCGTCTACAGCAACTAATAGCATGACACAGCGTGTGCATCCTGGCTAAGCAACAGGTGAAATGCATGTTTTGATAAGTTGTCGTTACTTTTCAATTATATAAAAGGAAATTAAGGTTAGGAATGAAAACGAATTGTACATTCAACATAACGTTTTAAATATTTATTGTATGTTGTGATATATATATTCAGATAACAACTTATATATATAACAGTAAGCTTTATACTTAATATCTAGCTCATTTATTGAAATTACTGTGAAAAAAACATGTCATTCCCAAATTACATCCAAACTATTTTTCACCCATAAATCATTCATCTGTAAATAACTATTTTATAACTAAATCAAATACAGACAAATTGACGAAGATCAGATAATAATTAAAGACCCTTCAATCAAAGTGCATCCACTTAAAATTAAATAACGATTAAAGATCGTCACATAATGTCTACTCACGTTACAGTAGGTCGAACTCCAATAATGGTATCCAGTAGGCTACGTTCAATCACAACTAACAGTTATCCAAACTGTCTCAGGAGTGAACCTTCCTCAACCGAGTCACAGACACAAGTAATCTCTCCCCGACCTGCACCCTACTTAATACCAACAGGCACCTCTAGGCATCGCCATTGGCTCACAGCAAACCAAAATACCAATACAAGACAAGACAATCTCTCCGACAGGGTAATCGCAGTTTATAATGGCTAGACTGGCTCTAAGGACATGTCCGAAATACCTCCTATTGTTTGGCTAGCGGTCCTATTGTCTTGACCACTGGCGATTGGCTGAAGCCTGTTGCCGGACTCAAGTAATTGGCCACCCATGTTCCCGTCTATTGTTTCGTAATGTTTAATTGTTTGTTCAACGGGCTTAATCCCATTTGATGAATCGCCCAGTGCAGTCGGCCGTAAAAGAATTAACACCCTGAAGATACAAGCGAAGGTGCGATTGACAAAATCACATCCATCTGATGGCCAAATGTCGTCTAGGATTCTTCAGGACCTGCGGGTATTTGCCCCAAATTGCAACTTGACAGGTTATCGTCAACAGACGTTTTCACACATCTACATCGAGCCCGCCGACTTTGATCCGAAATAATTATCTTAATTGTTGGAAAAGACGTATCTCTGTAATTGACATGGTTAGGTTTGAAACTGACTTGCTAAATATGACAGATGTGTCACGATGTGCTCCGACATATGTTGTGTCTGTTGTCATTAATTGACATATACATGATGCTTTAAATTAAGTGATTATCAGAGATATGCAAACCGTTATGATGTCTATTTCGAAATGTACATGCTATTGATCTTGTCGATTGCAAGTACTGGAACCAAATGTACATCAAAGGTGTTTCCCAAATGATTCAGACTAGTCACTTAGTGTTCCTTCTATTTCTAAACTGATAAATTATTTAAGACACATTTGCGAAATTTATTCTACATATGCATCATATGAATTATATAATCATATACGTGTGGCATACATTCCTAAACATAAAAAATATGTATAGTTCTTTTAACATTATCCATTAAAACGTCACATCTTTGTGTTCGTCTCATACCAATGAGTTGGAAAATATAACAGATTCATCTTAATTAACCGCAAACATGTCAGTCTTACTGTCAATCTGACGTCGTCGCAATGTCTGAAATAGACAACAGTGCAATAGACATGCAAACTACACCGCAAGTGTCAATCATATACGTTACACAACGGATAAGCATCTCACTGACAGCTTTATCATATTGTAACATCGTCGGACGTGTGTGGCCAGGAATCATTTGTTTCGACAGCTATCTACATGCATCTATCTTACCCTGATCATCGCGGCCTTTGTGCATTGCTATAGATGTGTATTGACTGGGGTTTGTGTTTCATGGCTATAGACATCAAGTTGTGAAACAGTCCCTGACTTGTAGAATCGGAATGAGACTAGGTCACGCGAAATTGACAACCAGAGACGGAAAGAATAGCCTGTTTGACCTGATTTGCTAGAGATGTTTTGTTAAAAGTATGATGAAGAGAGAGATCGTTGAGCAAAATGTGACTCACAGTGTATCGTACATGACCTATAGTTAAAGGCATTTTGTCTTGCAAATGTTATTTTCTAAAAAACAGGGGAATCTTAAATGATGCGGAAACTGGTGATACCGAGTTACACTTCAAATATACCTCTGACGTTAAAACAATGTCATTATCATATATATTTCACATTTCCTAATTCAGAGTAATATACTAAGAACTGCGTTAAAATTTAAATCCAAAGAGTTATCATCGAAGAATAATTATTAACAGATGTAAAAAAAACATATTTTACAAAAACGTTTGTATTGAAATCAAAACTCATTACATGCTTATGTATGACAATATCTTTGCAATTTAAATGTGTTTGCAATATTACGAAATGTAAAAACGAATAATTGTTTTGTCAGTTTCACTCAGCCGAATGATTGATGGAAACAGACACTCTAATTGTGTACAGAGATACAACTAATGCCCGTATAACAGTAAAGTTGTCTATATCATAAAGTTAACAGCCTGCCCGGCTAGACATCGACCAAGGGGACAATATACATGAATACCTGTCCATTATTGATGACTTCTCACACTTTTATGATGGGGGTGACGACAAGCCACTTTAGCAATGAATTTAAGATGAGAGCTCTCCTGAATTATGTATAATCCATCGTATTATCGTGCCACGACACTCATAACTGAATTATCAGGAAACAAAGAAAGACATATTAATATATCATGGTGCCTATATCTCATTCAGCCCCGGCATACTAATACTTATATATATAAGTCATTGTACGTGACA